TATTTGTTGAATTACCTCTTTGATTTCTGATTATTTGATGAACATCCCGATCAGGAGGTTCTAAAAGGCTACCGAACTCAACATATGCAATATGGAATTTATTTTCTTTTTTATGCCTCTCTACCCATCTATACGTCTTCTCTAGTATTTTCTATTATAAATGGCACCACCACCTCCTTACTAGCCTAAGCCAGAAAGCTGCGTAAAATCCTGTTTCTTTCTCACTGGCACACCCGCCACCCCTCCAACTGTGTCCAGTTATCTACTATAGCCCATAGATTATAACATCTGAGTATGTTTCCAATCTGTTTCCTCCTATGCAACCCACAGACATTACTGGAGTTTGTGGTCTCATTATATCTCGCTGGGAAACTTGCCCCAGCATCCTACTCGCCCCCTGTCTCCAGTCTTGTCTACTTCCAGTTTATTGTCTGATGCCAAAGATGTATTCAAAAATATAATTCTATATATAATATGACCATGTTTGAAATATTTTTATTGATCTTAATCATCCACATAAATAGAAAAGCCCTAGACTTATAAGAATCTTGATGATCTAGACAGGTTCAGCTTTGAAGCCCTATAAATCACCCCACTCCAAATATATCACAGCCATACAGACTGCTTAGCGGCATGCCCTGTTTTTGCTTCCATGACTTCCTGCTTTATACATTCCTCATCCTCACTCCCCCAAAGGAAGAATTAGGATTTCTGTACTGCGGTAAACATCTATCCATTATCCACACTCTATATCATATTTAGAATAAATTGTTTATATGTTTGTCTTTTTTAGTAACCTGTGAAATCCTTAGAATTGAATATTTTATTCCCCTTTAAAACCCCAGGGTTTATCAAAGTGCTTTAGTTCACTCCAGACTATGAGTTTAGTAATTTCTATCCAATTCCTGTCTGTTATCTTTTAAAGACTGATTCACAGAAGTACTTCACGGATTATGAAGAACAGAATAGATATGCAAAGATAAGAGTTTGGTTTCCAATATGAGAAAATTATGATCTGCTGAACTGGGTCAGAGGCCAAGGGTTCAAGTCCTAAATTGTGCCATATTCTCTTTCTGTGAGTTTGAGCAAGTTACTTTAAACCCTCTGTCCTTAAATTGGCTCATCTTTAAAGTTATGTTAATAATTCCTGTTTTTACCATCCTATTGTACAGATTAAATGAGATAATATATGACAAAACCCAACTTTGTAAATTGGAAAATGCTAAACAAATGCAAGATTTGATGATCACCACACGTAAGCAGCTTATCATATGTTGAAAACACAACTACTCTATCATTTGGAATGATTTCAATGGCGAGAAACAAAACCAGAAAAACAGCTGCTTAAACAAATAGAGGCATATTTTTTTTTCATTGACTAGAAATATGGAGGTAAGTTGTTGTTTCATCTGGCTCATTGTGCTATCAGGACCTGAGGATCTGCTTCTAGTTTTACTCCATTATCTTTTTCTTCTTGGCTTTTGTCTTTACGCTTGTTACCTCAAAGGCGGCTGCAACAGTTAGAAACATACATCTGCATCCAAGGTAGAAAGAAAGGAGATAAAGGAAGAAATGCCAGCTTACTTGTTCTTTTTATTAGGAAAGCACATATGTTTCCAGAACTCCCATCAAACTTCTGCTCCCTTCTCATTACCTGAAACTCACATGGCCATTGTGAGCTGTATGGGGAACTGGACATGTGTTTAGCCTTCTCAACCTGTATATGAAGGAGGGCAAAAAACAAGGGGCCGGCTGGAGGATGGATGTTGGGTTTGCCAGCTAACAGTGTTTGCCACGCGTATCTTCCTGAAAATTGTTTTCAATCAGTTGATGAACAATAAAGGATAGCATTGTGTTCTCAAAGCTGCTTTCAGTGGGCATGGATTAATCATTACGACTGATTAAGAGTCAGCATGTCTTTTCAGATGTCTGGTCTTTCCATCAACTATCACTACATTTTAAAATAAAGATCATGGAGTTCTGTCTTTAACGGAAGAGAAATTCACCCAAGGTTTATGCTTTGACCTCAGAAAAATGCACCCATTAGACATTGGAGAGTAAATTAAAAGAGACTTCCTGAGAATTGACTTTCCAGTACAGTTTTCAGTACCATACAGTGTAGAAAGGCAAGCAAGAAAGGACCGAAGATGACTGAAGATTTACAAACAGGGACTGAAGATGAGTGAAGATTTACAAACAGGAAAGAGATGCTGGAAGAAAGCAAAAAACAAAATGAACAAACAAAATTAAAAGAATTTTATTCCACTTTCTACTCAAGTCCCAACATAGCATTTAATTTATAAAGAGCAACACAATTTCCCTCCCTAGTCCCACCTGCTAGCTGGAGTAACTGTAGGGAAACCCAGGAATTATTTAGGCTTGCTAGCAAGTTCACTGGGGTTATTTTCATTTTCTAGTTCTGGCATCATTACAAGTAGCTTCTTTCTTTTCATCAGTTATGTCACATAGAAATAGAGGGCACCTCTAACCATATGTTGATTGAAAGCATACAAAGCCATGACTCTGTCTAAGGATCAGTTTGATCAAGGAGTATACCTTGTGCTGTGTCTGTTCTACTGGGCTACACAGCGCTCTAGAGTAGGATAGCTCTGCAGCCCCAGCAGATGGCTACTTTCTGTTTTTAGAAGAGCCGACTTGGGATGCCTTATGCTTTTTATCTTGTTGAAAGGCGTTCTAAAAACTCAGAGCCTATCAATTGCTCTTCATCTTTTCCATTCAAGCTACAGCAAAAATGCATTAAAATTAATTTATTTTTTAGAATGATAGGAATGGAATGTA